ATGTCATCGAAGGTGACATGAGGTATAATGTTTTGCTTGGAAGGCCGTGGATCCATAGCATGAGGGCGGCGCCATCGACCTTTCATCAAATGATGAAGTTCCCAACAAAGGATGGCATGAAAAAAGTATATGGAGAGCAGCATGCAGCTAAGGAGATGTTTGTAGTACACGACTTGACACCGGTATCGACACCATCCACATTGGAAAAGTCAAAGCACAAACAGGTGGCCAAATAGCAATTACAGCCCATACCTTCAGTTGATCTCGAGGGACAGGTAATCGATGAGCAGGTGGTCGAGGACGAAAAAGAAGATTTCCTCATCCCCCGAGCCTTCATTTCCCCCGAGGAATCAGATGCGACGAATTCCACAGTCGACGAACTCGAGCAGGCCGTATTGATCGAGCATCTTCCATAACGAAAGGTATACCTGGGGACGGGGTTAACCCCCGAACTCAGGAAAAAACTCATTTAATTTCTTATCAATAACATTGATTTGTTTGCTTGGTCCCACTTAGATATGATAGGGATCCTATCGGAGATAACTACCCATCGACTAAGTGTCGGTCCCAGATTTAAACCAGTGAAGCAAAAGAGGAGACCCCAGTCCGAGGTAAAACATGGATTCGTCAAAGAAGAGGTAACCAAACTTCTCAAGATAGGATCCATTAGGGAAGTAAAATATCCCGAATGGCTAGCTAACGTAGTGGTAGTCCCTAAAAATGAGAATAAACTTAGAATGTGTGTAGACTACAAAGATTTGAACAAAGCATGCCCTAAAGATTCTTTCCCATTGCCCAACATCGATTGTTTGATCGATGCTACGGCCGACCACGAGATCCTTACTTTTGTCGATGCCTACTCCGGATACAACCAAATTCAAATGAACCTGGAGGACCAAGAAAAGACTTCGTTCATCACGAAGTATGGTACGTATTGTTATAATGTAATGACCTTTGGGCTAAAAAAGGCAGGAGCCACATATCAACGCCTAGTTAATAAGATGTTCGAACATCAAATAGGCATATCCATGGAAGTTTATATTGATGACATGCTAGTTAAGTCCCTGCGCGTAGAGGACCATTTAACCCATTTGCAGGTGATGTTCGATACCCTAAGAAAGTACAACATGAACCTCAACCCCGAGAAATGCGCTTTTGGAGTCGGCTTAGGCAAGCTATTAGGCTTTATGGTGTCGAACAGGGGTATCGAGATCAACACCGATAAAATTAAAGCCATCGAGGAAATCATCGTAGTGAACAATGTGAAAGCCGTACAACGGCTGAACGGGTGGATATCTGCCCTAGGCCGATTTATCTCGAGGTCATCAGATCGGAGCCATCATTTCTTTTCCCTACTCAAGAAGAAGAACAACTTTGCATGGATTCCGGAGTGCCAATAAGCCTTGGAAGAATTAAAACGGTATCTCTCGAGCCCACCTCTGCTCCATATTCCGAAGGAGGATGAAACACTCTACTTTTATTTAGCCGTGTCCGAGGTGGCGGTAAGTGGCGTGTTGGTTCGAGAAGAGCAAGGTACACAATTTCCTGTCTATTATGTGAGTCGGACCTAGGAGATGCTGAAACCAGGTACCCACATTTGGAAAATTTAGCTCTTGCATTAATAAATGCATCTAGGAAATTAAAACCATATTTTCAATGACATCCTATATGTGTATTGACTACGTACCCACTTCGAAGTGTCTTGCATAAGCCCGAATTATCGGGCAGATTGGCCAATAGGCCATCGAACTTGGAGGGTATGATTGAATATCAACCTCGAACGGCTATCAAGTCTCAAATATTGCCAGACTTCGTGGCCGATTTCGCGCCTACCCTCGTACCCGAAGTAGAAAAGGAACTCTTGCTAAAAACGGGTACGTCATCGGGGGTATGGACCCTTTTCACAGACGGTGCCTCGAATGTGAAAAGATCTGGGCTCGACATCATTTTAATACCGCCTATGGGCAGTGTCAATAAGCAATCTATCAAAACTTCTAAATTGACTAACAATGAGGCTGAGTATGAGGCCATGATTGCAGGTCTCGAACTAGCCAAGGGCCTTAGAGCAGAGGTCATCGAGGCAAAGTGTGACTCCCTTTTGGTGGTAAATCAAGTAAACGGGAGCTTTGAGGTTCGGGACGATCGAATGCAGAGGTACTTAAACAAACTTCAAGTGACATTGCACCACTTCAAGGAATGGACACTGGACCATGTACCTCGAGAACAGAATAGCGAGGCCGATGCACTTGCAAACTTGGGGTCATCGATTGAAGAAGATGATATCGTCTCGGGGACCGTCGTTCAACTATCGAGGTCGGTGGTCGAAGAAGACCATGCAGAAATTAATTTAACAAGTTTAACGTGGGATTGAGGAATAAGTACATCGACTACTTGAAGCATGGGAAACTCCCCACGGACTCAAAAGAGTCGAGAGCACTTCGAGCAAAGCAGCTTGATTCTCACTTGATGAAAATGGAACGTTGTATAGAAGAACCTTCGATGGACCATTGGCAGTATGCTTGGGTCCCGGGGACACCGATTATGTATTACGAGAAATCCACGAGGGCACTTGTGGGAACCATTCTGGTGCCAACTCTTTGGTTCGCAAGGTGATCAGAGCGGGGTATTATTGGGATAGCATGGAAAAGGATACCAAGGAGTTCGTTCGAAGGTGTGATAAATGCCAAAGATTTGCACCGATGATCCATCAACCCGGTGAACAACTCCATTCGGTCATATCCCCGTGGCCATTCATGAAATGGGGGATGGACATGGTCCGCCCCTTACAAACGGCGCCAGGTAAAGCTAAATTTATTTTGTTTATGACTGACTACTTTTCAAAATGGGTAGAATCGCGTGCCTTCGAGAAGATAAGAGAAAAAGAAGTCATTGACTTCATATGGGACCACATCATATGTCAATTCGGGATACCTGCCGAAATAGCATGTGACAATGGGAAACAATTCTTCGGCAGCAAAGTAACAAAATTCCTCGAGGACCATAAATCAAAAGGATTCTATCAGCGCCTTACCACCCAATTGCAAATGGTCAGGCCGAGTCCACAAACGAAACCATCATTCGAAACATAAAGAAAAAGTTAGAAGATGCAAATGGGAAATGGAGAGAAGTGTTGCCCAAAGTTCTATGGGCATATCGAACGACGTCAAAATCGAGCACGGGGGAGACCCCATTTTCTTTGGTATACGGGTCCGAAGCATTGATCACAGTTGAAGTCGGAGAACCTAGCGTTAGGTTTCAGCATGCTACCGAGGATTCAAATCGCGAAGCTATGAACACTTTTCTCGAACTACTAGATGAAAAACGTGAGACTGCATTGATTCGAATGGCCGCGCAAAAACAAAGGATCGAAAGGTATTACAGCAGAAGGACTAACCTTCGATATTTTGGTGTCGGGGACTTAGTCCTAAGGAAGGTCACTCTCAACACTCGAGACCCAAACGAAGGAAAGCTAGGTCCCAATTGGGAAGGACCGTACCGTGTTCTCGGAGTCGTAGGGGAAGGATCCTACAAACTTAGCATAATGGAAGGCGAGCAACTACCAAACAATTGGAATGTATCGCTGCTCAAACGCTATTACTGCTGAGGTATGACCTTCTCCCCCCTTTTTCCATTTGTATTTAAAACTAACTCCTTGCGATTGGAAACATCGAGGTACCTTTCAGCTCGAAGACCTCAGGTTTAAAGTATGCGTTGCACTCTTTTTCCGTTGAATCGATTTTATCCCAAATGGGTTTACTGGCAAGGTTTTTAACGAGGCAACACCTATATTCTACCTAAGGAATATTCAACAAGTATTCAAGGCTTCTTTTCAATCAACCTCGAACACTGGGGGGCCTCACCCTCGGAGGATGCATTCTCGAAGAAAGCAATTCATGCCAAGGAGGGTCTCGATAGGGGAATGTTATAAAGGGCCAAACGGTTCCATGTAGAATAGTCGAGCCCCCAGCGGCGAAGCATGTACGCATGTATCAATTATTTGAAGAAGCATTCTTATTATATCAAAACACTTCTGTGCCTCAAAGAAGTCTACTATTTTCACATTTAACGGCTCAAGGGCCAAAACCTCGAATACACCCGAATACTCGGGGACTATCATCGACAATCGACGCATTGAGTCATCGAATACTCAAACTTATAAGACCTCAAAGAGGCACACTAGAACTTATAAGACCACAAAGAGGCACACTCGATCTCACAAGACCTCAAAGAGGCATCCCCTCGATATTAAGGCCAAGGCCATCACACTCGGGGACTAAAGGCTGCGACCATATAAATGACTATGGTAATATAAAAGGTTACGGCCAAAATGATGTGGCTCAGAGACGTCCGACTTCCGCCATAAAACTAAAAGGCCTTCATATACTTCGAAAAAACCGGTTAAATCAGGCTACCCTCGGCAAAGGCAAATTATAAGGGGCTTCGATATAATCAGCCCTTAAATAATGCAAAATCTTCGATAACATCAGCCTTCGAAAAAACCTCAAGAGGTATTCGATTAACGCTGCATATCAAATTTGAAATGAGGTTCCAATCAATAGAACCTTCAAAAAACCCAAACGGGTACAAAAACACATGCTAAGGCATACAAAATTTTCACTAAGTCTTTTAGCCGAAAAGAGGGAAAAATTTATAGCCATTTTAGAGGCCGAATTGGCCCTACCTAAAGAGCCTAAGGGCCAACCTAAAAGATCCTAAGGGCCAACCTAAAGAGCCTAAAGGCCAATATTTAAAGAGCTTAAAGGCCGAAGCACACCATGCTCGAGACCTTACCCAGCTCGGACTCAAAAGTCCCGAGCTAAAACTTAGCTCGAAGATCGAACCTTAAGTGGTAACCTATTATCGATCGTTGATAAAAAATCAAGCAAACTTTGAAGAAAAATTGAAGGCAAACGATCAAGGAAACTCCTTTCCTTTTTTTTATATACAAAAAGATATTACATAGGAGTAAAGCCAAAAATTACAAAAAGATAGAGAAAATTCTACCTGCTCCAGAGGGGCATTCCCCCGGATCCTGTCGCTTCCCCGGGACCAGCCTCTTCCCCAAGGGTAGATTCTTCGGTAGCCTCCTCCTCATCATCATCTTCGACGTCATCATCATCGTCGGAGGAAAGGATAAATTTGGAATCAGCCTCATCTACCTTAGCTTGCTTTATCTCCTCGGAAAGATCAAAGCCCTTAGCATGAACCTCTTCGAGGGTCTCCCTTCGGGATCGGCGTCGGGCAAAGTCATTTCTTCTTTTCTCTCGGTCGGAAACCTCCCTCAACTCCAACTGAGCATCTGGAGCATCCTTCAAATAGATGGCCACCGTCCTATCGACCTTGGCTTGTGTTTCTTTGGCCTCGGCCCTAACTTCCACAACCTCGGCCTTGGCCTTCGCAAGACCAGCCTCGAGATCGGCTATTCTGCCAGCCTGAACCAAGTTGCTCCCTTGAGCATTCTAAAGTTGGACCTCGAGGGCTGATACCTTCGCCAGTGCATCATTTTTAGCCATAACAAGGGCATCCTTCTTTGCCTTCCATTCATTGCACTCGGCTCGGACATGATCGACCTCGCCCCGGTGCTGCCCAATCATATCTAGCTTTTGCTGCAGCTGAGATATTGAAGTATTAGCCTCCGAAGACGGGAGAGGTAGCCCGTATTTTTTCAGAACAGAGGTTGCCTGATTTTCTAACTCACTCTTGTATTCACGAGCTTTGGTCAACTCCAATCTAAGATGCTTCATTTCTTCCTCCTTTTTGTCAAGGAGAAGCCTAAGGGTTTTCTCCTCATTCGAAGTCCTACGCAATTCGACTTCACAATGACGCAATTCGGTCTTCAATTTATCGAAGGCCTACACAAAGGAAAGGAATGATCGATTAGACAAAAGAAGAAAAGTATGGCATTGAAGAAATTGCAGTGCAACTAAAAACTTAATATTGAGCAAAGATGCTGAGCCTCCTCGAAGATTGAGCTCGCATCCACTGGGTCGGCCTCATCGATCCCAACAAAGTAACCCTGGAAGGGGCATTTTCACTCGGGACTCCGCCTAGCTCGGACGTCTTTAAGTTCTGGGCATCTCTAATGGTATCCTCGGAGAAGGCCAGAAACGACGAGGGTTGACCTGCTGTCATGGCCTCGGGGAGATCACCCGAGGTGCTCTGTTTAGGTAGAGGAGCTTCGAAGCTCGCTCCCTTTGGAGTATTTCCAGAAGTTTGAGAAGCAGTTACCGCGTCGGGTGATACAGGGCCTTCATCCCCCTTTTCTTTTAAAGTTCCTTCCTCGATTCTAGGGGCCCTGATCTCAGCAGGCTTGATAGCCTCGGAAGATTTCCTGGTCCGAGTCACTAGCGTCGAACCCTCCATCTTGTCACCGTCATCGTCCATGAACTGGTGGACCGAGTCAACATCCACGTTGATGACGACGCTTTTCTTATGCCTCCGAGTGGGCTCTGCTTGGCTTTGGGTGTCCTCGTTCTTCGAGGACCTTTTTCTCTTGTTATCCTCTTTTGGCTTTAGGACCGAAGATCCTGCTTCCTCCCTGAAAGGGGACTGCCTCATCTCGAAGAACTCACCGTGGTGTACCGTGGTGTTTTGCTTCCCACTTGCCCTTCAACAAGTCCCGCCATTTGAGTTTGTCGTATGTTGAAGTAGCAGCTAGTTTGCAAACCCAGCCCTCGAGGTCGAGGATCACATTAGGCATCCATCGAGCCGCTGCGGAGAGGGGAAATGAGTAATTATGCGAAGTTTAGCAAAACTTATGGAAAAGAACTAAAGCAAAGAATTCCACTCACGTTCGAAGATCTATTCCTCGGGAAACGGCATGAACTCCTTGGGAAGAACATCGACGGTCCTCACCCGGATGAAACCGGCTCATCCAGCCTCGATCCTTGCCTTCGTCGTTACTGGCGAAGAAGGATTTAGTTGATCGGCCTTGGAGTTTGATTAAGCCTCGAAAATGTTGAAGTCGATATAATCGGATGAGGTGCCTGAGGGTGAACTCGAGCCCGTCCTTTTCGATGAAGAACCTCATCATTATTACGATCCGCCAAAAGGACGGATGAATCTGGCCCATGGTTACTTGATATCTTCGGTAGAATTCAAGCACGAGCGGGTCGTGGGGACCCAACGTAAAGGGGTATGTATATACACTCAGGAACCCCTCTACGTAATTTGTGATGTACTCCGCACGAGAAGGTATTTGCAGAATGACCTTCTCTGCCCATTTACACTCTCTCCTCACAGCATCGAGGTGTTTTTCCTCAATTGACCTTATATAGCTCGATGCATGCTCTCGACGGCCGGCGACGTCGGGAGGGTTCTCGACTATAAAGTCCCCTTTTAAGGAAAATTTGCTCGGTACGATCTCGTGAAGCGCCGACGGTTTACCACCGGCCAGACGGGAGGTAGAAGTAGATTTTCCTTCTTTCTGAGGAACGAACTTGAAAATTTTTGCCATCAGTTCTTTAGAAAAAGATGAAAGAAATGAATACATCGGCGAGGTTTTGAGCCAATACGGTGAAGGAACTGGTGGTGAAAAGGAAACGTATAGAGGAAAATTGGTGTTGCAAGGTGGGAAAGAGGAAGGCGGCGACGGTTCATTAATATTGATGGCCGACCGACTCTGACGTGCATTTAATGCTTTTGGGGAAGTGAACCAACGGGATGCTTCGGCCATTTTAATGCTTACGTCATAGGAGTGATTCCATCATAAAGGACTTCGGGAACTCAAATCGTTTCATATCATTTCATTCTAAGAAACGTGGGGACTATCTGTATAGGGTCTGAATCGGAGAGCTCGATTTCAACAAGTTAATGGTACCCCGGGCTCGAGTTCGGGCAGCTCGAAGTAAAGACCAGATCTGATTGGAAAATGCGCACCTCGAGGGAGCAAATCGGAGACCCATCATGATCTACCTCGAGGGCAGTACAATTTCGATGGCACTCAAGAAAGAGCGGGAATTTCTCAAGGACACGTGGATCAGGGCATAAATTAAGGGATAAGATTTGTACGAAATAGTACGAGTCTGTACTAGGTTGTTATACAGCTGTAACAATAGAATTCTTTACCATAATTTGAAATGTACCATATTAGGGTTTTTCCTTTATATATAAAGGGGACCCCAATCTTTGTAAAAGATATCTCATTCATTGCAATAGAATATTCTACTATGCTTTTCTCGTTTACTGTTCTCCACAATTGTTCTTCAGCTTTATTGTGTTTACTTTGTTGTTCATACTTTATTTGCTCCTGACTTACCTCGAGGCCCCCGAGATAATAGAGCTCGAGGTCCCCGTTGCTCTAACAACACTGGTTTGGTTCATCAATTCTTTTTTACCTAAACCTAATATTACTTGTATATTCACTAGTATTGGAATAAATTACATATCTTTAAAATCACAAATTACCTTTAATTGTTACTCACATTTTTCGAGGCAAACAATGAGCAAATTGGGTATGTTTGAGCGGGTTAAATGGGTCGAATCAATAAATTGGTTGGATAATAACCCAGGCAAATGATCGTCTGTATCAAGATGTGCGGGATCAATTAAGATTAACTATTGGGTCATAATTCGGCACTCGTAACTCAATATTATTTTTCATTTGTTTGTTTGTTCTCTTATAAGTTGCCTAGTTATAAGGGGTACATAGGTCGGGTAATTCAATTATCAAACCAAATCAATTGTATCGGATTTTTAAATCTATAAAACAAAAGAAACCAAACCATCAAAAGTTAAAATTTTCAATCTCTGTTTTTCTCGGATTTTGTTTTTATTTATTTTTTTTCAAGTTTTTTGGATATATTTTGATAAAATATTCATAGCATAAAATATATAATTTGGTCTTAGTAGGATACCACTATATAAGGTGTTACCCAAGAAAATAACACAAAATAATGTGAGATGAGTCATTACAATGTATTAAAATATTTAACAATAAAGATAATAAAATCACATAAATAAATATAGCTAATCAATAAGCGATAGCTTTCTAATATATGACTTTTCGGGTGAATGCTTTTATAGTTGTTGAATGATTTTTTGATATATTTAAATCATTTTGAAGGAACTAAAATACTTTTCAATTTTATTTTGATATTTTACTTAAATTAAATAAATATTTTAATTATCATCTTTAATAAATGTAATGACTTGACTGGTCGTTTTGAGCATTTGCGTTCCGTTCGGTGGTTTGAGGTCTTGAGTAGCTTCACATGATGTATTATAACATGCGTGTATGGTCGGTTTTGGTTCTCGAGTGGTTCAGGATTGATTTGGAGGAATGATATACAATTTGAAGGCTTTAAGTTGGAAGAGTTGACCAAGTTTGACTTTTTCGTATTTGATCTCGGATCGGAGTCTTGATGGTTCTGTTAGGTCTGGATGGTAATTTTGGACTTAGGCTTATGTTTGGTTTTCGATTCGGAGGTTTCTAGGGTGATTCGGCTCGAATTGGCGAAAGTTGGCAATTTGAAGGTTTGAAAAGTTCATAGGTTTGACCAAGAGTTGACTTTAATATTATCAGGTTCAGATTTTGATTCCGAGAGTTGGAATAAGTTCATATGTCATTTGGGATTTGTGTGCAAATTTTGAGGAAATTCCGAGTTGTTTAGGCATGTTCGACGTTAGTTTGGAAGTTGGAATTTTAATATAGTTCATTAAACTTGAATGTGCGTGTGATTCGCGATTTTGATGTTATTTTGTATGATTTGAGGTCTCAAGTAGGTCCGTGTTATATTTTGGAAGTTATTGGTATGAATTGATGGGGTCTCAGAGGCCTCGGGTGTGTTTCAGGCGAGTTTCAAACCATTTCGCTTATGTTTGGAGTTGCTGGTTTTCTGATGTCATGCAGTTCATCGCGATCGTTGAGTGTAAATTGGGTGACTGATGATTTGCTCATCGCATACGCGATGGGCATGGCGCGTTCGCAGCGCCTGGGGGGGTGTTCATCGCGTTCGCATAGAAGGAGATGTGGATGGGCGCCTAGTGGTTGGCCTTCGCATTTGCGTGCCTATGGTCGCGTTCACGGAGGCCAGGAAGTTGAGGGTCGCATTCGCAGTTGTCAGATCGCGTTCGCGAAGAAGGAGTTTGGCCAGTGTACGATTTGTTCTTCGCGATCGTGAAGTAGGTCCAGTGATCGCGAAGAGGACCCCTTGGCAGATTTATATAACATTTCATTTCGAGGGTTTTGGTTATTTTATCACATTTTGAGTTATTGAGCTCAGATTTGGGTGATTTTGGAGGGGATTTTTACGATTTGTATTGGGGTAAATATATTTGATTTGATTTTATTTATTATTCATGATTCGAATGATACGTGGGTATTTTACCAACTTATCTCGTCTTTAATATTAGATTTTTGCTATGTTTGGTTGATAAAATCGTGTGTTTAATGTCATTTAGTTCTATTTTACAGGTTTTATGTGATTTAAAAGTGATAGTGAAGAAACCAAGTGAAAACGAGTCAAAAAGGAGCTAAAATGAAAAATAGAGATCTGCCCAGTGAATTACCCTTCGCGTACACGAAGCTATAATGCTAACGTGAAGCAGCAGGTATTGCTCTTGTTGTTCTTTTTAGTTTCAACGAAGTGCTTATAGGGCTTAACCCAAACCTTATCGAACGCGGAGAAGCAGCAAGCCAAAACTTCGCGAACGCGAAGGACATATCTCGAACGCGAAGCTGGAGAAATCAAACCTTCGTGAACGTGAAGAAGAAATGGGTGGAAAAGCCTGAGCAGTTTTAGAATTTCACATTTTTCACCCAAACCATTTAATACATGACCTAGCTCATTTGTAAAAAATCTTTGGCAAATCTTAGGCAGTCTTGGGACATCTCTTGACTAGATAACACAAGTTTTGGAGTTAGGGTTCTTGCACACACACTCGGGTCTTGAAGATTTGGAGCTTTTGGTTGAGAATTTCTTACCCATTTATGTTCATTTCTTCATTTTCTTGCTTTGTATTATATATCTAATAGTATAGTATTTTTTCTAACATTTGAATATTGTTTATGGGAATATTCATATTTAAAATGTGGATTAAATATCTTGTTGTGCTTATGTATTGAACGATTTTTATTTATTATGAAGTGAGTTATCGTTTCTTTAGTTATTCTTGTTCTTTTATGTTTCCAAAGGGATTATCTAACCTTAGAACTCGCCCGTTTACTTCAAATTAATTTTGGGAAAGACAATTTGGGATTGAGAAAGATTAATTAACAAGAACTTAGGGCTTTAACCCTCACTTTATAGATTCTACCTAGTGATAGGATTGAACTACCTGTAGCCATATTCGGGTGTGCTTAATCTCTTAATTATTTTAGGGATAATTCAATTAGGAAGTCTTGTTAGTCTTTGAAAGAGCTAATATAAAATTATTACCCAAGGCTAATCAATATAAACTCGCTCATGTTTGTAAAATCGTGAAATACATTGGATCGTTACTTGAATGTAATTCCCAATGCATGCATGCTTGTAGCCGTTGATCATTTTACTTGCTTTCTAGGTTAGTTTATATTTTTGCAATTAGTTACAAAATGTTTACTCAAAACCTTTCTAAGTGTTTGGCTTAGCGTAATAAGTGATAGTTCTCTTACACGCCTAATCACCTACATATTATTTTCTGTGGGATTTGACCCCGACTCATAGTTGGGTAAATTATATTGCATGCGACCGTGTCCATTTATTTTTTAGTAGTGGATTTGGACGTCACCAAAATTGGCGCCGTTGCCGGGGAGAATTTGGCGTATGTAGGTCGTTTGAGAAATAAGCGTAAGCGCTTTTGTCCAAACTTGTGAATATTTGTGTAATTACATTTTTTTATCTTGGTTTATTTTTCTTGTTTGTTTCTTGTTTATTTTCTTAGTTTTGAAGAATGGAATCATGTAATAAAAATTGGTCGGATGGTAGTTGTTCATACTTTGATGACCCTTGTCCTTATTGTGGAGGACCACACTTTGGAAAAATTGTTTAAATTCTCCAGGGGCGGATTGTGTGCGCAATCTCAAACCCATGAGTGTAGTATTTGTGATAAGTGTGGTCATCAAAATGGCCATTGGGATAATTGTGCTTCTGTGTCCTTCCGTTCCCCCATCCCCCGCTATGATGATTCTACTTTTTGTGATGAAAATTATAGGTATATGGAAGTGGATGAAATTGAGCATGGTCAAAATGGAGAGTTCAAGCTCATGTTAGAATGCCTACTTGAAGGAGGAAACAAAGAGCAAAATGCCTTGGATGAGCTTTTGGAAACTAGTCTCCAAAATGATTTGGCACTTGAAAGGTTGAGCTTATAAATGGGAGAAATGCTCGAAGCTTTAGAGGTCCAAAAATCCTCGGAAGTGGATGATAACCAAGAACCTTCCTTAGAGTTTGAAGCCGAAAATCCTTCCTTGGCACTTGATCAAAACCAAGAAGAACTCTCAAATGCTCAAAATGAGAGGATGATACTCATGCTGGAGTGCATTCTTGAAAATAAGGAGAAGAAAAGCTTAGCACTCGAGGACTTAAAACAAGCACTAACGCAAAATGATGATAATATCCGCACCTTGGAAAATCAAAAGGAAATATTGGTTGAGGCTCACTATGCCCACCAACTTGAGAGTGTGGAAAGAGATCAAGAAGAGTCCAACTTCAAGGAAGTGAGCTTTATTTTGAGGAACCAAGAATTGAACATCCT